AATATAACACAAATAGTTTGAATTTGAAATAATAAATGTTTTATTGCCCAATTAAAAAGATTATCAATTATTCAGCAATACCACATATATATGGAAAGAAAGAATTATGAGGCATTTATTATATGAAGGCACAAATTTAAACAAGGAAAAATCACACCATATACACATTTAAGGGTCAATATTACAAGTTTTAAACACATTCTTAAAATATTCTTACTTATAACAGTTTATTTACGGGTTATAACATATTACTTAAATTTAACTTTATTTAAAAATTAATTACAGGTTTATTTAAAAATAATTAATCTCTTTATATTTTTATATTATTAATTATTAATAGCTAGCTAATATAATTTCAGTTCCTTTTTTAAAATCAAAATTATCAGTTACACGAATTTAGGGATTTACATTGATTAGACTTCCTTTTTTACCGTTACACTCCAATTAATTTTATTTAAAAATCAATTTCCATTTATTTAATAAATGATTAATCTATTTATGGTTTATTTAATAATATGTAATTAAATTGATTTATGTTCCTTTTTTAAATCTGAAATTATCAGTTACATACATATAGGGATTCACCTACAACAAGTTTCCTTCTTTACCGTTACCACCTCCCATACGTCAATCCCTCCCCCCTCCCCCCACGCTCATCCAGTTCTACATGCCATTAACACACTAGCCCAATTTTACCTTCATCTATCACATCTTTCTCACCACCAAACTACACTAACTTTACAATCCTCCATTCAATTTAGTTTTTTCAACAAAACCATGTCGAAGAAAACGGTTGTAACTCCTCGAAAGATCCCTCGATTAGTCGAAGGAACTTCTACGGATGAAGTTCATGCTCCATCTTTCAACATTTTGACTCAAACACCGCTGCCAAACATTGTTGAAACTCCGGCTAGGGGTAATTCATCTCTATTGAAAGATCAAAAACAGAAAAAAAAATAACTCAAATAAAAGGGTGAGTCCGATAAATCGAAAGGGGAAGAAAAGGAAGGGGAAAAATGTTGAAACCCCTTTTGATTCTGATTCTGATTCTGATTTTGTTACTGAATCAAAAAACAAAAAAGAAAAAAAGAAAAAAAATAATGAATGTTGAAGTTGCTCAGTCGTCAAAACCATCTACAAGAAGATCCAAAAAAAAAGAAGAAATCAGAAGTCCCAACACCTAAAAAAGACAAAAAAAATTGTTAGGGTAAATATTATATTCAATTTATTTTCACATTATTAAAACTACTGATTTTTTCCTAAAAATATCACATTATTCTTATATTATTTTCGAAATAGTTGTTTGAATGAAACGTGTATGAAATCTGATTAATATGTGTATGATTCTGATTAAACAGTTGATTGTTGGATATTGTATGATTTGTGATATAATAGTGGTAAACAAATGGTATGAATTGTGTTTTAACAATAGTGTGATTGTCTATTAACTGTATATACAAAGAGTGAGAATGGCGCGATCAGTGAGAGTGAAGTTACTGGTACGATTGCTAGCAAATTTGGTGGACCTCGCATAGCAAAAGAACATGTTCCGGATACCACCAATTATCCTACACCAAGACCACGTACAAGAAATTTGAAATAGTTGATTGCACCTTTTACTTTTTTAGAATTATATGTTTGTTTTTTTTTACTTTTGAACAACTTTTTTGTATTTAAGTATTTGATGATATATAATATCATATGTTTTCTTCCAATCAGATACCATCTACATATGAATTACTGTTTGGCTATTATAATTTCAGGATACTAGTAATATACAGATTTCATACCATTTGGATTCACTATTTTAAAATATCAGTGTGAATCCAAATTGTACAATTAATGGATGAAACGTGTGTGAAATTTGATTAATATGTGTATGACACTCAATTTAATGTTTGATGGTTGGATATTGTATTAATTGTGATATAATATTGTTATACAAATGATATACATTGTGTGATTATATGAAATTGATTTATTGTTAGTATAATATGTGTGATATAAACTGAAGTTCGTGTTGGAATGAAACTTGAATAAGATTGGTATAAAGTTTGTTATATATTACACTATATTTACACTATCTTATATATTAATCTGGAATAAATTTTATTTCCGAGTATATTAAATCTGTATAAATAATTAATGAATCGCGTATATGAAATCTGGAATCAAAAATCTGAAATTTGTACAAATATTTACACTATCTTATATATTAATCTGAAATAAATTTTATTTTCTAGTTTATGAAATCTGTATGAATAATTAATGAATCATGTATATGAAATCTGAAATCTGAAATCGGAAACCTGTACAAATAGTTACACTATCTTATATATTAATTTGGAATAAATTTTATTTCCATGTATATGAAATCGTAAAGAAATCTACATTAGCTTTCTTTTGATCTAAAAAAACCCGCACACCAACATCATTGTGGATACTAACAGGGGGACATCTATCACTAACTATATATTTCATCTATTGTGAATATTAACATCTATCATTAGTTGCGATGTTATCGCACTTACTAGACCACTATAAAGACTAGAATACTCATATATAATCCCCTCCATCTAAAAATCAACATATTTCCCTGTTTCATTAAAAAAAAATAAAAAATTAGTCTTACATAATACAAAAAAAAACAAAATTATACACACTTGTCATTATTTTTTCATACAAAAATCATTCAAACAGTAAACTACAAACATATTTCATTAAAAAATAAAATTTCAGATTTCATACCCACTTAATACAAATTTCATACATACAATCATCATTTATACCAAATTTATACATTTCTCATACCAAATAGTTCATTCCTTTCACACAAATTTATACATAATTGACAAAACTTATATAAACAATAACATTTCACATTTCATACCAACTTAAAACATTTTTAATACACTTATTCAAACTTTTCAAAATAACTTTTTTTACTAACTAGTTAACACACTTTCATACCCACTTAAAACAACTGTCATACAATTCTTCAATACACTTTCGTACCAAATTAATTACAATTACACTAACAAATTCATTCAAAACTATACATTTTAATTCATTTTTTCACGAAAAAAACCAGTAATCAATAATATTACAGAAACTTACCAAGAAAAAACCAGTTATCAATAATATGGTGACACTAAACCACTACCAAAAAACAGAAACTTATCAAGAAAATCACTAATATTACAATTTCACAACAACTAATAAGTATTATGAACAAAACGTATTGTTTATACAAAAAAAAATATCACATTCAATATAGTGGCGATTTACAGTTTCATTTTTTTTTCTATTTCATTGAAATCCAAATAAAAATAGTAAACAATTAAAAATACTCACCTGAAGCAACCCATCTTCCGCCATGTTTAATTAATATTGATACGTAGTTGTCCATCACAAAAAAAAAACACGTTTTTTCAACAAAAAAAAAAATCAATTTGTCGCCAGTGACAATTTCTGGAAGAAAAACGAAGAGAGAGAAACGTGAAAGAAAAATGGATAAAATCTGATTTTTAAATTAATTTTAACAAATTGGAGTGAATTAAGGAAACTGAATATTCTTAATTAGTTTGAAATCCCTTAATTCATGCTAATTAATAATTATCTTAAATTAATTCAAATTTAAGATAATCCCTATTTCCCTTTTTTTCATTTTTTCCTTCAAAAACGTTTTATTTTAATTTTTTTTTATCTTTTTATTCTTTTTAAATCAAATGTTTTTAATTACTAATTTTTTTATTTATTTAATAATATGTTACAACCTGAAATTTTTAATGTTATAACTTGAAAGTCTAAATCTACTGCTATAACTCGAAAATATTAGTATAATATATGTCATATTAGAAATTTTCACGTTGTCTGAAAATTACATTATAAAACTGGATTTTCTAACTTTTAAAATGTTAGCAACTATTTTTGTTGCTATGCTATTGCGTCTTTGATTTTTTTTTTTAATTAAAAAAAACACCCATGCTATTGTATTGTCACTTTAAATTTAATGTTTGTATCGATTGTTATTCAGATTTTATTATATTGTAGTCTTTACTTCATTGTTATTTATCGATAAAAGGACTCATGTAGCAATCGATTTGGTGTGATTGTGTCACCTTTTTTTCCCTTATATTGTCTTTGCTTATTTTTTAAATAATCTTATTTTATCTTTTACCCTATCTTTCGTATAATAACTCTAGCTCGTACCAAACTTTCTTTTATAATGTTGTAGATTTATCTTCCAGATTATTGATATGTGACATTATGTAACAATACATACATTCACACATTATATTAATCACAATATGATACAATACAATGATTGGGGTACATAGACAACTAGCAATCAAGATGATGAAGTGCAACCCCTTCTGTAAAACAGCAAATCAACTTTTTACCCCTTTTTTTTTTTTTCCTTTTATTGTATGTATGTAAAAAGACCTGCATTTGCTTGATCCTCGTTAAAAAAAGTTGGTAGGTGATGCACAAGCAACTTTAGATATGGATTTTAAAAAAAAAACTTGCCAAGTCAAATATAAAGTCCAGGGATAAAATTTGAAATTAATTTTAGGGAAAATTAGCAAACTAGTCATAATCCCTAACATAATTATTAAAAACATTCACATTTGTTTTGAGATATTAGCTAATTTCAAAATTATTTTATCCCATCATCTCTGAAGTAAAATGGTGGGATTACCATCTCACATAAAAGTTTGGATAAAATAATCCCGAGATATCATTGCTTGTCCCATCTCACGTACCAAAGACTATACTTTCGATTATAGGGATTTAGTCAATTTCGATTTGGCCTATAGTAAAATGTTTACAATAGGTGGTTTTTGATTAATTTTTTAAAAATGGGTTATAACTTTGCACAAGTATATACTAAAACGAGATTATGTTGCATCAAGAAGCACATACAGCAATGATCTTTTCCATCTCATTGTAAAGAAAACATTTACATGAACGGTATGAGTTGTTTGAACTCCAGGCAGTACTAATGGAAGGGAAAGACCAAAAGATGTTGATCTGCAGAGACCACCTAAGTCCTATTACCATGCCAAATGTACTTGGTCCAGCTTCTGCTTTTGAAAGAAAATGGTCGATATGAACTTATCCAACCAAACGAAGCTCTCCGTGATGTTATCTGCCAATCTTCCTACATTTTGGGAGAAACCTTCCTAGGCAGAGTATATAGAGAGATTCTAGAATCTCATGTAAATTTCTAGGGTATATGAGTAACTACAATATCTACTATTGAGCCCAACATCAGGAATGTTGCTAATAAGCAGTTGCTCCATTGATAAAGAATTGCTTGTCAACAGCAGCAGCAGCAGTTATTTACGGATGGTAGGTGACCAAGAAACACTTTGGGATTATCTGAGTATGTTGTAAAAAAAGGTGACCAAGAAACACTATTTGTCACTTGGATTCTTGAATTTTTCCTCAAGTATGTCACGAATTATCCGCCTCATACGAGATGCTTCTTCAGGTTTAAACCACTTTCTTCCAAACTGAAAATGGGTCAATACATCACTAACAAAGAAATTGATGCATTTATCAGATCGGAAAAGATGGAAGATTCTATATTGGAAAAGGAATTAATACCATTGTCAGATCCTTCTTTTTAAGTCTTTCATGAACTTCAGCGATGAATCGTTCCATAAAGAATAGCACAAAGAGTCCACAGTCATAATCATTTCCTTGTTGTGGGACCTGTAATACAAGTGCAACAGAAGGAGGTCACCATGAAGGAATGATAATTAAGTATTTACAAGCTTGCTTTATTTCTACTGCAGAAAGTTCTCAGGTAGAATTTGATGAACTGAACCAATATTTTGTACTCTCCTCCCTTTGACCTTGTATGTGCTCAGAAGATATCAGGGAGTCGGTATCTGAAGATGGAGATTCAGGATCTCCTTTTAGACAACCAAAAAGAGAAGGGGGGAAAGGGGGAATACAGACAAACAGAAATTCAAAAAATAACCATAAAGTATCAGGTTCAAATCCTAGAGGCAAACACTTGGTGATTTCTTTCCTATCTATCCAAGCCTTGGTATAGAGTTACCCGGAACTTGTGATTGTGAAAGGTAGCACCCTGTGGAATTAATCAAGGTGCGCGCACAAACTGGCCCGAACACCATGGTTATAGAAAAAAAGAAAACAAAAACTAATCTAGCAGAAACTTTAGCCAGTCCCTAAGACAACCTAAACACGTAAAACTACAGATCTTTCAGATAAAATACAACCACTTACATTTTGTAGAAACCACTCTTTTCCAAACACTACTGCTTTAAAATGGGGTATGCATTAGGTGTTGTTGAATAAGTTTAATCTACCAACTAGAACGATAGCATGGTGCTTTTTAAGTGCAATGTGGGAGGATATGAAAAGTTTGAGTCTGAATATACTCATTGCTGAAGCTCTGGAAAATACAGAACAAATGAATCATTTTATGAAATATAGAGATTTCTTAGAGAAGATATCCAGCTCTGCAGCTGAACACCCATAATGCAATGAATCAGAAAACACAATTCAACCGAAGAACAAAATCTCACATCCCACTTGATGCCGAACCAATACCATTACCTTGTAAGTTATTGACTGCATATATACAAGCAAGAAACATTTCACAAGAATGCTTAAAAATTGAAAGAGACGAGGAATTACTAGAATACTCTTATCATCAATTCTCTGTGGAAGATTTTCCCTTTTTTTTTTTTTTTGATAAAGGTAACATTAAGATTTTCCCATATTTTCTGAAAGCAAAATTCAATTAGGGAATATTCACATCCCACATTGATGCCAATTCAATCCATTACCTTACAAGTTAAAGACTACATATATAAGCATAAAAATCTCACAAGAATGCTTAAAACTAAGAGACAAGAAATTTAAATGGAGGAATACCGGAATAATGTTATCATCTATTCTTTGTGGAAGATTTTCCCATATTTTGTCTGCAAAAGGATAATCTGCCACTACTCCTTGTCTCAAGAATTTCCATTCTTCTATCAAAAATCTGGGTCAAAATTAAAACTTTGAATGAAAATGAACCTCACAAGTGAAGAAGCTTTCATTTCAGAAATGATATTCCATGGGTCATATTAGACTTGTACTCATGATCATTTTATACAAGAAGTTGAGGATATTTTTTCATCAAGGGTGAATATGTTTTCCTAGAAAATATTTTCTTGGAAAACAAGTGAGTTTCTTACTTATTTTCTAGTGTTTGGTAGAGTATTAATATGTAAGCTAGCAAAACATCATGAGGGTGGGATGGGGTGGGGAATGGGGGTTCGGGGGTGGAATGGTCAAAGAGATGGAGGGTTGGGGATGTTAGGCGGGTGGGGAGGAGACAATGAACTTAGAAGTTACTTATGGTACTTATTTTCCCTACTTCCATTAGGAAAGTCATTTTTCCTCATTTTTAAGAGGCTTATTTTCCTAGAGAATATTTTTCAAAATATTTCGACCATCAAACATAAGAAAATCAGAAACATTTTCCTCCATACCAAACATACCTTTAAATAATAATTTGTTAATGTTGGAAAGCCTCCCCATATATATGTGGTGTACAACACGTGGAGAACTCAGGGCACACACCAACTGCCAGAAGTTATTCAAACTAAAACAATGGCTTTCATTACAGATGAGTAAGTTTGGTCTTGAAACCACTAGTATGATTTTATCTTGAGTTTTCTTTAAAATTTGTCCATACACACACCCCAATAATTGTGGTTCCTAACAATACAATAGTAATAATTAAGTAATAACTCATGTAGCACGGCATCCATGACCATTATTTAACAGCCAATGAGAGAGGTAATCTTACTTTTTCATAGTACCAAAAAGAGAGCTGCTGCTGTGGAGCCTCAATGAATCCAAGTGAAGAATGATTGGCCCCAATTGGTCTTCTTTATCTGGTATGCAAATTATTACCAAGCTCCAGTGATGACTACAGAGGAAAAAAGAACCAACATAAGGGCATGAACAGAAAGCTCCAGGAAACTTAAGTGTAAAAGAAAAAATACCTATTGTAGACGAGTCAAATGGTTGAGAGGGGGAGGGAGAGGGGGGGGGGGGGGGGGGGCATAAGATGAATCTGAACAAACCACTGGGCTATTAAATAAATAATCTGATCTGCTCTTAGTTACTTAGGGAAATGCAACAACATACCAGTATGAGTGCAATCCAGTTATGGTTTAGAGAGGTAGAGTGTACCCAGACCTTACCCCTACCCTCATGCAGGTAGAGAGGTTGTTTCCAACTTAGAGAAAAGTAAATAGTAAAAAATAAATATGTCCCAACATATGATCCATATCGACAAACATCGTATGACCTAAATAATTTAGTTTATAAATTGATAAAACTGCAAAACAAGGCCAAGTAATAAGAGCTCAACGGACCAATACTGAATCTCATGAATCAAGGAAGTAGCAAAATCAACCTAGAAAACTTACCTTTCATGTATGGGAAGAAATATATACGCTTTCTCAAATATATTCACACCCTTCCACCACCGTCTTAATTTGAAAAATGAAGCTTCCTTCTCATTCTGCTGTTGAAAATTAAGAAATCAAAAACTATTCAGATTTACCTAATATTAGATAGATGTAAGATAAAAATATAGAAGTTAAGATGGATGTGCTAAAATAGAAATGGTTACATCCAACAAAGAGTGCAAATAACATGCATTAATGAAAAATAAGAGGTCCCTTAAGCTGATATAGTCAAATCCTATGTAGACCTGTAGATGCACCAATTTGATGATTGAATCATCAATCATGAGACTTAAGAGCACTTGTTTGTGGAATGCCCCTTTACCAAACATATCTGGAATAAGGTCCTAGTTGAATACAAAGAGGATTTTTCCACTGTGACAATTGGGGAACAATATCAGAATTGGGTCATTGGCTATGCTAAGGGGAGAACTCAGAAGGCAGTGGTGTTC